TGCATTTATATTGCACATAATAATAATAATAATAATAATAGTAATAAGCATAATTATATATTAGATATTTCTACAGCATATGTCTTAACACATACAGTATTTTGTTTATTATTTTGTATTTGTTGTTGTCATTGTTATTTTTTTTTTCTTTTTAAAAATTGTGAAAGATGTTTTAGGGCCTGTACTGCCCATTGTCTTTTTATATGCAATATTTATTTATTTGTTTCATTTGTTTTTCCACCACAAAACTTACTTCAGCATTTTAAATCTTGTTTTTTTTTTGTTGGAAAATCTTGCTTGATGTTTAGTCAGATCCGATATCCAGTAATCTGCTTGAATCTAAACGGTTCCTTATGTAATGTAAGCACATCAAAATCTTATTTTCAGGCGGAAGCACTACATGAATGCAGAGAACTGAGACAAACCACAAACAAAAACACTAGTCATGATTTCATGTTTGTTTGTTTTTTTTGCCATCATAATAGACCAATTTAGAGTAGACGTCACAGTTACGTCACTTGCAGCTGCGCGAGCATAGTAGTTGCAGAAAAACACTGGGAACAAGTGGAGGGTCGCAAATGCAAGTTTATATCTCCTAATTCGGACTTTATAACTCGACTTAACTAAAAAATAGTGAGTTTGTCAAATCTGAGGTTAAAAAAGCCAGAAGAGCCGAGGGGAAAAGAGAGAATGACGAGTTGTTTTTCCTTATTAGAATTGTGAGATATAATATCGGAATTGCGAGAATAAAGTCATAATTTTGAATATATAAAATAAAATTTACCTTTTTTTATTCTTTTATTCCATGGCTCCGTAGACTGCCGCTTGAAAACCGTCATTTTCTGCCTCCAGATGGGCTCCGCCCACAACAAACGTCACCCCTGTTTCGGATCTGTGAGACTATCGCACGCTCTAACGTCAATTTCGTTGAATAACAGTGCTTATCGCTGGGTGACAAGCTCTTGTAATATGCGTAGAACATTTTGAAAATGACATCTAATCAATATAATTTATAATCTTTTTAAACCTAACTATTTTGTACAGTATCCGTGAAATTCTCTAGCTGTAAAGGCTATCTCTCCCGGGTTTTCTGCAACCATGATGCGCGCGCATCCTGAATGTTTACAAACCGATAATTGGTCTATAACTACCATGTTTATTTTAGCACAAACCATAGCAGTGCATTATTTTTTTGGACGTATCATGCATGGCAGTACCATCATAATCCTTGAAGTGTCTTTGAGTAGCCTACATCATGTCCTATAGCCTACACGGTTTTGCACAGTATGGGGAAAAGTAATGAGAAAGAAAGAGCCATTTCTATCTCTATAAGTCTGAACAATGCAAAGTATGTGAGTGGGAGGATGTTTATGTGTGCTCATCTCCATCTAACCGTTTGGGTGTGTGTGTGTGTGTGTGTGTGTGTGTGTGAGTGAGTGAGTGAATGTTGCTCTATATGAGAGAGATTCAGCGGCTGTGTGGGTGTCTGTGTGTGGGATGCTCTCTCCGGCAAAGCTAATGTGAAGTGTTCAGAGAGCTCAAGAGAAGCGCATAGAGCTTGTAATAAACATAAGTAGCCATGTAAATGTCCACTCCCCCATAAACGCCACAATTAAAGCTCTTCTATTCTATTTCAATAGCACCACCCGAATGCCAATTATGTCATTAAGCATCTTGTTTGATGTAAAAATGTCTACGTTTACAGTGGCGTAACTTAGTAATGACGGGCCCCAGTGCAGGCTATAACGACGGGCCCCCTGAGCTGCACAGTTATGAAGCACATACACAGTGCTCGTGTCTTGAAGGGAACCAACCCATATAAGCGAATTTGTGCCTAACCTACTTAATTTAGACCAACTAAAATCAGTATCTCATCTGTTTCTTATATTAAATTGAACAGTTCTCTTTGCGCGCGTCTCTCTCCTACACACACACAAACACGCAGGAATCACGGATTCGCATTCCTCTCCGAGAGGCAAGAGAGCACGACCCCACCACTTTTTGCAACATCTCGCGGCACGCTCGGTCGGATGTACCTAAAAAAGAAAGAGACATCTCCACTCGATAAGAAATTCGTTGGTCTGTGTTAAATAACATGCGGTCTATCGCTGGAATGTGTGGAATGTGTTATGGCGAGTGCTCGTTGCCGCTGTTATCAGGTCTCTCTCGGCGCTCGTGCACAATGCGCATATTCACTCATTCACATATTAATATAGTAACTTCATCGCCAGGGGCCCGCTTGCGATGTGGGCTGTCCCCCGCGGCTGCACTGCCTGCACTGTCTGTAGTTACGCCACTGGTTCTAAACGTAGTCACGATCTAAAAATCCGGCCACCCGTCTATTTCACCCTTCCAACTCGATTTTCTGCTTTCATCTTTATCTCTGCGTATCTGCGAGAGTTGCAGAAATCGACAAAGGCACGGGGATGTTTCAGCAAATTAATTCGGCTGTTTAGACTGTTTTTGATGAAGCGCTGAGGAGGAATCTGCAGCTGGTATCTGTCACAGTTAGAGAGGAGTAACACCATCACTCCCTCCATTACATTCACTCGTTTTCTCTCACCCACAATCCTTCTCATTCGCTCACTCGCTGGAATCCGAGACTTATAACGAGCAGTCTGCCTCCAAAGCTAGTTCCTGTGCATTAAGTATTTTAGCATGCTTATATTCTGCTGTTGAAATCACTGTAACAATGAAAGGAACTATTTTAGGAAGGCTAAATTTTTGGAATGAACTTAAAATGTACGTTTCGCGACTTAAACTGTGCCATTATTATTGCCTATTTAGAATAATAGAATTAACATGACTTCTTTAGTAGCATTACCTTTAAAAGGGTATTTTGCAAACTCATAATATGACGCAAACCTGCAATAATTAAATATGTTAAATAACACAAATGTATCTAATCCCATTTTATTAACCAATATCTTTGCTGCTGACCTTTGATGGTCCAGTTCAACCATACTAATAAGCAAAAATGACTTTAGATAAACTAACAATTGTGCTTCGTTTTTTTATTGCTGAAGAGTGTTTCTTCTCCTGCGTTTTACTGTACAGACGTGAATTTACATTTGCTTCAGCCTGAGGTTTATATTAAAAACAATCAAGCCCTGCTCATATTTAAAAAGTAACGCGGAATATAACGCATTACTTTCCATAAAAAGTAACTAAGTAACGTAATTAGTTACTTTTTTAGGGAGTAATGCAATATTGTAATGCATTACTTTTAAAAGTAACTTTCCCCAACACTGGTTATAACTTATGAACACTAAGTAAACCGCCCAAAAACTCGTTGGTAAATTCAAATCGGCTCAATTCACAGAATTTATTTTTCTTCTTCTTCCTTTTTTTTTTTTTTTTTTGTAAATAGGCTATGCCCAGCAAGTCAGGGTGACCTTGTTCCAGGACATTATTTTTTTTCAGGAGTTCGTCATTACGTTCAGAATAACTGCATCATTGTGACTAACAGCAACCAAATAACTTTTGGGCATCTATAAGTGTTTCAGCAGAGCAGATTTCCAGGAACCTGGTATGCAGTGCCTCCTCGTGCTCTATAAGGAATCAAAACAAAAGTATAGCCTACAGAGGCAAAAAACCCAAAAAACCAAAAGTGCAGTTGTCATGGTGATAACACTAGAGTTGAATATAGTTGTGGAAAGAACTACAAGGCTGTAATTTGTCTAACCTTCCCACAGCCCGTTATTCCACCCGAGAGATCACGTTTATGTTGTTATACACCCATTTAAATATAATTGGTGATGATAACTGTTATGTTAGTAATGATAATCCTGTAAGAATGAAGTCAGTCAACAAAACAAAGTATTTTATTTTATTCAGCTATTCTAAATGTACACTTAATACGCAACATTTTTTTCATTCATTTGTCGTAGCATGAAAATGTTTATTTGTTACATTATATTGCAAAACCTAACAAAACAAAACAGATTTTCAAATTTCAAAGTGTTTCTTTATACCTTGACAACATCTTGATTAAATAGCTCACGGAAACATATTTAACGATACAATACAATCCAATACAACAACCCCCACACAGACAAATAATATGAGAATAAAAACTCAGTGTTAGCAGAAGGTGCAGATGGATATGGAAAGCCAGTAGATCAATATACACATTAAAGGATTTGAATAAAGCACATGGTGATGTAGGGAATCATGGGAGATTTATATAATTTCAATGAGTCATACAGTGAATCACTGCAAAGGAGATGTGAGATGCGGAGAGTGAAATAGGAGTGAAAAAAGGGATGAAATGGAAGGATGGCAGTACATAAGAAGGGCCAGGATGTTCAAGGAGACAGAGCGGATGAGGGAAGAGGTTGGCAGCTCTTTTTAAAGATATAGTTTGAGAAATCTGTTTTGTGCAAACAATTAAGAGACGTTTAACTTGATTATAAATACGTGTTATTGCAGAATGCATGTGCATATCCTGTAAATTAAAACCACAAAAAGCCCATAAAGAAGTATTTATCTTAGCATGACAGTCCTTTAACACTGTCAATATGGTAAATACTACAGAATATCATAGTAAACTGGTGTTAATTCTAGAGGTTAAATGGCCTGTCCATTGGTTGTTGTGTTGATTGGATGAAGGCAGACTGAATATTTAATTGAAACATATTCATGGATGAATTGTTCATAAGATCAATAACATGCATTTAGAAATAGGTGAATGTTCATGGCAACTTTCACAAATGCTCTCTAGAGTGAATATGCCACTCCCACTAATACTACCTGCCACCAATTAGCAAGTAGCAAACCTTGGTTTGTGATTGTGAAGAAACTTAAGCATAACCTCCTGTTTCAAAAGTAAAAATGCATAACCCAAACCTCATGTTTCAAAAGTGAAAATGCATAACCCAAACGCAATGTATCTTTAAAATTTTTAGTGACATTAGATCAGGAATATAGCTGAAATGCAGATGCAAAACACTTCTGAAAGTGTCTTGACATGGGTGTTGCACATTAAGTATAAAATAATGTTATTTTTCATATAACACTGGGGTTATTAAAACTCAGTCCACCAGAACCAGAAATAATAGCTATATTTTGATGTACATACTGACAAAACATTTCTGTTTCTGAAAGCATAATCAGCTGTCTGTGTCTGACAGAAAGAAGTTCTAATCTCTCACCTTGTTCAGTCAAGCATGCCAGTCCAGAACTCCCCAGGTTTTGTTAGACATAAATAACACAAAAAGACCAAAAAACGAAAAGTGCAGCTTCAAACATAAATACATTTACTCTGTGTGCGAGCTCAAAGTGTCTGTAGTTTAATGCTGTAACTAACAGACAGATCTCTGTGGTGGTTGCGGCTCATCAATGGTTGACCATAGTGCTGGAATCAGAGGGATGAGGGTGTGAAGGTCATCCTCTTCAGTCCAAGGACCACCAATACTGCTGCCATAGATTGCTGCCACCTTCTCTCAGGGTTTGAAACATGCAGAACAGGTCATTTCTTTATCAGAGTGGAGCTGAGGAGAGATGGTATCTGGAACCACTGATTTCAAGATATCATTCTCACTGGCAATTATGTGTTTCACAAGGAAGTTGGCAGCTTCATTAATGTTGACGTTTTCCTAAAATTTAGAGCGAAAGAACATACATTAAACATTTTTAAGACAACCAGGTTTTAGATAGTTTGATTTGAACATTTGGAAATAGGACTGTGTTTGATGCCAATGAACTTGACCTGTGAACAGTAATGACTTGTTAAAACCCATGAAAATGCTACTAGATGGAAGTCTGATTGGACTCTTCATTAAGGATGAATGGATAGAGGTGCTGAAATGAATGAAATAAATAAATAAATCCCTTTGAAACCTCTCTACTGGATTGAATGAGACGTCCCAATGTACCAACAGTCCATTCTCCCGTTTCCCTCAGCAACTGCTCTGCATGTGAGTGGCAGGTCTAATTAGCATGCAAATATTAATAACTTTCATTCAGAAGCTTTAATCAAGCACTAAAGGCTCTGACAATACAAGTTCTGTCAAAAGATATTTGTTAGACCGCTGTCAGTGGGATAGAAAAGCTATTTTTATTGTACATATAGGTGGTCCTTGCTAGTGGTGGCTACCATGTTGAGATCACATTACAAACAAAATAATCTTGTAACTCTCCCGACACTTTTAGCTGCGGAACAAATTTATTAAATTTGTTAAAGATAGATAGACAATAGGTGTCAGTATAAAATCAGTCGTCAGTATAATATCTCAGTCAGTAGGCCTATAAGATCTCTGTTGAATCAGTCAGTGAAAAAACTTCCAAACTTGTCAGTAAAAGATGGTAATCCATGACATTTACTATAAATGATTGCTCTATATACCAGGGAATTTACATGGCACTCCAAGGAATACAATAGTGCAGATAAAAAACACAAACAAAACACAGTATTACATTGATACCATGTCTTTTTTAATAGTTTAATGCCCATGGTACATTAATGCACTAATTAGTGAATATACTACAATGACATATCCAATTACCAGGGTATTAGCTGGTATCTGAAACCATCACTATACCATGGTACTATAGTTTTTTTTTGTAGACAGACACAAATATTCTCTGTCATTACTGTTGCTCCGTCTAAAATCATACCGAAATGTTATGCCTTACCTTAGCAGATGTCTCAAACCAGCCCACAAATCCATTCTCCTTGCAGTACTGGTCCATCTTCAGGCTGTTGTTAGTCAGAAAGTCTCTATTTTGGTCGCACTTATTGGCCAGGAGCACTGTGGCGATACTCTGACCATTTGAAAGTATTAATTTTGAGTCCAGATCCTCCTTCCATTTGGAGACAGCCTCAAACGTGGTGGGTCTGGAAACATCAAAAACAATGAACGCCCCCATGGCCTCTCGGTAATAAACCCGTGTCATGTTCCCGAACCGCTCCTGACCTTCCAGTGCAGATGGAGAGGGAGAAAAAAGGTATAAAACAACTGGGAAAAGCATGACACAACAAGCCAAATGTCACTTCCATTCAAAGGTTTGAGGTTGGATTTTTTTTTCAGAGTTCTTGAAAGAAGTTTCATATGCTCACCAAAGCTGAATTTGTTTGGTGGAAAACACAATAAATTTAATGTGTTCTTACTAAATTAAAGTTTTAAAGGGGTCATATGATGCGATTTCAAGTTTTCTTTTCTCTTTGGAGTGTTACAAGCTGTTCGTGAATAAAACTACTTTGTTTGGCCTTCCAAAAGAGGACACGACTAGAAATCAGTAGTTAAGTTGTATTTTCCAGAACAGTTCAACCCAAATATTCAGATGTGTGCAGCGCAATTTATGGAGAACTGTTGCCTCGGAGAGTAGCCTACAATGCCGGTGTTCTGACAATTAATAAAAAGATAACGATATTAGCGTCCATACCAGCGAACGATATCGTCTGTTTATTCTAAGCGCACGATCGTCTGCTGCTTTAAATTCTCGAGGTCGTTACAGCAGGATGGATTCTGATTGACTGCCAATTTTTTATCGTTCATCAGCTGGAGAAAAATCGTTTTGAAAATGTCCAGTAATGGATGCAACAAACGCCTCGTTTATAATGGGTTTTAATGTTTTTGTCTCGTCGCTCCAGGACACGGTATCACAGTATGGTAAGGGTCGCTGTCACACGCTTGAGGTATTCGGCCAATCACAACGCACTGGATAGCTGGCCAATCAGAGCACACCTCGCTTTTCTGACCGATGAGCTTTGTAAAAATCGACGCGTTTCAGAAAGGCGGGGCATAGAGGAGAAACAATAATGTACAGTATGTGGAAAATAATGTGTTTTTTGAACCTTAAACCGCATAAACACATTTAATTACACCAAATACACAAAATAATGTTCTTTTTAGCAACATCATATGACTCCTTTAATTTCTTGAGAAAGAAAAAAAAGCTTCCCTAAACTTTTGAACACCAGTGTATGCTGAATGCATAAATTGCTTATACATAGTAAGATATTTTAAGTAACAGCTCATGGTCTCAAATTCTATGAAAGAGCCTGTGCCAGGCATGATTACATTTAGTATAACGAATCTACTGGTGAAGAACACATGACTCTTTTTTTTGTGCATGCACTTTCCTGCAGTGCGCATCGTTCTGACTAGTATCCACAGCAAAGTTTCCTGTTGTTCTTATTCAATCGAATGCTCGTTACGACGGACTTTTCCAGCTAATGGCACATTCCATCTGTGTGCCTTTCTCTTGTCTGACTGAATGCAGCCACTCATCTGAGCTGCCAGCATTATACAACATTCCCTAGGACAGCTGTTTCTCACAGTTTGTTCTGTTATTTGTTCAAAATTAGAATCAGGAGGTGCATGCTGATCTCCGTGGGTCTGACAGCAGCTTCGCACTTGATGGACCACGAAACAAGAAATGCTGTATTGGTTTTGTTAATCCATATGGCCTTTTGAGATACTGCACAAGTGTTGTACAATGAAATATGAACAATGAATTATAATGTAAATCATCAGTCAAGTCTAAATATATATCTTGCCTTTGCTTAATATGTTTATGAACAAAATGCAATTTTCAGGTTTGAATAAAAGTTTTTGCTGCTATCATTGACTGAAATTTGATGAAGCAGTGGGGAATGCCCTTTACAGAAAGTGTTACAGTCACCTAACTTGACAACTTGGCAAAATGTGCCTTCTTTTGATGAAAACTATCACTAACAGGGAAAATGAACTCAGCATGTTTCACTTCATGAAACTGTATGTCAGATGACTTCCTGGGCAGCAATGAGGAGTTTATGATGCCCACGAGGAGTTTATGACTATGTAAGAATGTCTACTGAGTCATGTCAGGATGAGAGTTTAATAAAAAGCCAGTCCTAACGAGGACAGTATAGTAATAATGAAGAACAAACCCTTCAGTTCCTTAGTCCGGTTTAGAATATGAGTGGTTTAATGACTTACTACTGTATAACTGCATTAGGCATCATGGCCTACACCTTACTTATCCGAATTAATAGACTTCCTCAAAAAAAAGTGTTTGTTTTTGCTAAGTATGCTATTTCATTTATTAAAATTTGCTAAACACTAAAGTACCATTGTTACCACAGTTAGTTACTACAACTAGAGTGTTGCAAACACAATGGCAGAAAGATTTAGCTTCATATACAGCTTGAAGGTGTTTATTATGGTTCGTTCCACAGTAGTAAGAATAGCCTAGAACCATGTTATTTTGGTGGAAATTAGTTTACCATGGTATATAGGCCTACTTACGTTTATATATTAAATAAATAGGTAAACATTTTTAAGAACCACACTGGTTTTCCATGTAGGTTATATTTCTCATATGCCTTTTTGTTTTTTAATTGTGCTGTTGTTTCGAGCAGGTGTGGTGTTTTAAAGGGGTCATATGATGCTGCTAAAAAGAACAGTATTTTGTGTATTTGGTGTAATGAAATGTGTTTATGCGGTTTAAGGTTCAAAAAACACATTATTTTCCACATACTGTACATTATTGTTTCTCCTCTATGCCCCGCCTTTCTGAAACGCTTCGATTTTTACAAAGCTCATCCGTCTGAAAAAGCGAGGTGTGCTGTGATTGGCCAGCTATCCAGTGCGTTGTGATTGGCCGAATACCTCAAGCGTGAGACGGAAATGTTACGCCCCTACCATACTGTTATGATGCCCTGTCAGGCCGGAGCGATGATTCAAAAACATGAAAACCCATTATAAACGAGGCATTCGTTGCATCCAGTGGGGACATAATTATGGATTATAATGACTTATACTGTCTTTTTACACGTTGCGTTGCATTGCATCGCGCCGCGTAAACATAA